AATCAATACATTAAAAAATAATTAACATTAATATCATTCAAACACTGACTCCAAACACACACACACACACTTACCGTCTCAGATATTCATTCTGGAACCTTCAGGTGTCATGTGGGAAACAAACGTCCAATCAGTGGCGACCTCACCAGGACTTTCACGTACCCACAGGGTTCCTGGCTCCAGAGGTTTGTCCACACCCTGATACATCAGTCTTCATCAGAAGAAGGAGTTGAATAATCACAAACAGAATGTGAACGGGCGATGCATCGACTTGACCTTTGACCTGCTGGGTTTCCTTCATCTTTTACAGCCTTGATATCATTTAAACAACATGTTTATGCAGATTTAACTTTTGATGCAACAATAATTCAATCAGTAATTTAACAGATTAAATACTAAATATTATTTTTAGACTAAAGGCCGTGAGGTGGGAGGGCGGTTTCAAGCTCTCGACCAGCTGTTAAAAAAATAAAATCTCACGGTTTGAGCCATTATTTCCAAACGTCTCTAAAATGAGCCGTCAGATGTTTAAGCTTCAAGAAATGACAAAAATCTGACCTTTCCCAGAGTCAGGAGCGTTTTTCTGTCGTTCTAACGTCGTGAAGCCGCCGTGGACAAACTCAAAGTGGAATGGACCTTATAATGTCTCCATTTCTGTGACATTTGACTCAGAATCGGCACCGAGTGTTTGAATCTGGGTTTGAAAACCGTGGACGCTCGGCTCCAGGCAGATTCCCAGGATTCCTCTGCAGCGTAGCAGCCGCACTCGTCCACCACTGGCTCTTCTGACGTTGTTAGGAGCGAGGATGCCAGGCGTGGTTCTGCCAGGCTGCGTTTCATTCACTCTGAATATTTGGCATCAGCATCAGCATCATCATCATCAGCAGCAGCAGCAGCAGCAGCAGCAGCATCAGCAGCAGCATCAGCAGCAGAGTTCACTCTGCTGTTGATGAGGAAAGAAAAGAAAATCTCTTCATTAACGGATCTCATTTACATTTTCAAGCTTCTTAAAAAGTGACAGTAAAAGTGTGGCTAATGAGAGACTCACCAACTGTACTGAGCTCATATATTCATTAAATATATATATATGTCATATATATAAAAATATACATTCCCTCTTTGTGCTAACATGAACATTGAAGATGGTTAAACATGTCGTTCAGATCAATCTAACAAATGTAAAAGTCCTTCATGACTTCGACTTCTGAAAGAACACAAGTAAACGCCACGGAAACAGTCAGTGTTCACGGCTGCAGTGACGGTGAACTTTAAGATTTTAAATGTTTGGCCTGGTGTTGGAGAGTGAGCAGTTTGAACTGTGAAGATTTTGTAAAAGTAATGAAGACGATTCAAATATGAACGTGTTTGTGATCAAAGATCTGGAGAGGACGTGAGTTGTGGAAGAGTCAAAATGACAAAAATATATATGGTTAAAAGGTTTAGAAGAATGAGTGAATTTTTTAAATTGGAAAGCTAAAATCTACTATTTCTACGTAAAAGATACAACGTATATAAAAGTGTCACAGATATTCTGTTTTTGTCTGTTATCACTCAATTATTTCTGATTTCAATTTAATAAAATTGTTCACATAAACCATATTTCTTAGTGAAGATGCATTAGTTTACATATTTACAATTAACACTGCATTAATTCTCAATAAATATGTATATATACAGTTCACTCAAAGTACGTTTTATCCCAGTGACAACACACACACACACACACACACACTCTCAGGAAAAAGTCCGATCTCGCCAACCGTCGCTCAGTCCCTGAACCTTCAAGGTTTTCTCTTCGGAGGTCATTTCTATCAAAACCAGCACAAAATGATTACACAAAAAATAAACTCCAACTCTCTTTCACGCCACTGCCCTCACTTTACCTGCTGTGATTTTAATGAATTTCAAAATAAAAAGCTTAGAAATGGTGAAAGGACGAAGAGAAAAATGTCGTCCATTGATTCTCTCCCGTGTTTTGTGCCGAGCTAAAATGAGGAATACAGCGAGTGAGACTTTGTTTAAAAAAAAAAAAGAAAAAAAAGGTGTGTGTGTGTGTTTTCAAATGAAACAAATTATTTTATTTTAATGGGTTGAATGTGAATGTTTGGGAGCAGTGATTAAAGTCACGTTGGATCTTTGTTTTCTGGCTTTTTAAAGAAATGGAGTGAAATTACTTTTTTTTTTTTTTTAATGAAGTTAAAAAATGAAATACACAGAGAATCACGCGCTACGACACAAGTACGACAGAAGTACGACAGAAGTACGACACAAGTACGACAGAACAACACAACACAAACAACCTGTCGTCAGACGAAGTGACTGCGACCGGAGCCGGAAAAGTTCAAAGAACCACAGCAACAACCTGGAGGAGGACAGTTCACATCAACACAGACAGCACCACTGACACTGACACTGACACTGACACTGACACAGACACAGACTCAGCTCGATACAACACTCACTGTCCTAAAACTGTAGAGCAGTGACGTCGGTTTCAGCACAAAAACAGTCAATTATACAATGACTGAATGAATGAACCAGGACCGGTGAGAAAAAGCAGGAAACAGTTGGTCGTCGGGATTTTCTTGGAGGTGTGTTAAGGTTTTGAAGCAGCTGGAGCTGCGGTCCACACACACACACACACACACACACACACACACACACACACACACACACACACACACATTTATTCACCTTCGTAGAAGCAGGTGCCAATTGTCAGTTCTTATATATGTGGAGGATGGTGCACAATAGCTATGGGTTCCACACGTACACACACACACACACACACACACACACACGCTGTCGTTGGTAGAGCCATACAAAATAAAAAGGTCACGGTCAGGTCGTCTGTCTGAATGGTGCCGTACACTCCTGCATCACAGTGAAGGACAAAAGTGATGCACAGAGAAAACACACACACACACACACACACACACACACACACACACACACACACATACTTTTCCTACTGGACTAAATTCACAGATCATTTGATTCAAACCAAGACAATTATTCATATTATTTTTTTTTAGTATGTTTTAATTTCAGAGCAAAATACTGTGTCAAAGCCAAACACTTGGGCCTAGAGGGCGGGGCTTGTGTCACGACCTGGATTCAAAGTCAGTCTAGTTAACGTCCAAGACTTTTATTTTATTTTATTATTTCGATCTTTTCTTCTTTTTGAAGATTTCTAAAGGCTTTTATTTTGACAGGTTCCACAGAACTTATATGATATATGATAACCAATAAAACCAACCAATAATAAGTTGGTCTACTGGACCTGAGGAACGTTACCAAAAGATTTGGTCACATGACTCTGAACGTGAGGTGTAAACTCCTCATCTGTCCACTGGGGGGTTAAACCAGCGCCAAGACATAAGTGTATCCAGAGCTAAGATATTAGCATATCCAGAGCTAAAGCATTAGCTCTTCAGAGCTAGGACATCGGTGTATTTAGAGCTAAGATTGGGGGGGTACGGGGGGGGGGGGGGTACAGGCGGCAGGGAACACCGCAACCCCAACAGCCTTCAGTCAAATCCATCAAACCCTCAGCAGAGAGTGACGACGGGGACGGAGGAGGCGAGAGCATGACTGACATTCTTAATTGAAAATTCCTCATTGAACCTTGAGGGGGAGGAAGAGGGACAGAAACGGTTCCTATTCAGGGAGGAAGAACCGATCGTTGAGCCGTGCCCGTGAGATGAGCTGAGCTGCAGCACAAAGGCAGATATTTTAGGGTTTTAATGGCTTCTCTGCTGCACCACTTGTGGTGAACAGGTGTTCTGGGCTCACTGTGTGTGTGTGTGTGTGTGTGTGTGTGTGTGTGTGAGAGAGTGTGTGTGTGTGTTAGGGTCAGACTAAAGGACACAGCAGTGACAATTCATCAATGTTCATGAGGGAAAGAATCCACAGTGATAACATAATGGTTATATTGATCTTCACACACACACACACACACACACACACACACACACACACACACTTTTTTTTTTTAATCAAATTAAACCAAAATCTCTGGTTTTATTAAAGTGAAAAGAGATTTGAAGTCTAAGTCCAAAGGAATTTATAAAAATGTTTCCTTTTTAAATTTTACTTTTTAAAACGACTTCTTTTATTACTTTTCACTCTTAGCTTCAGTTTTTAATATTAAACTTTTAACTTCCTGTTAAACGTCTAACATTAGTCAAAATAACTGATAACAATAAACTTCTCTTCACAGCATTTTATTTTATACAGATTTACTTTTGTCCCGATCGTCACCTGATCAGTGTCAACCTTCACTTGACTCTTTCTAACGTAGCGCTCGCTAATTGTCCAGCACGTTGACCTCTTGACCCCCTCTTACAGCACCAAACTGGGAGAAAACTATTTGACCCTTGACCTCCAGAATTCGAGGAGGCCACAGAGGGATTGTGGGAATTCACAGCATCACATTCCACTCATTGGTGTTTGATTTGTTTACTCGTTCAATTAGCAGCAGACTTCGAACTCAGCTGTGACGGCCTACGACGACAACAGCCGCGACAACGACAACGATGACGACGGCAGCAGCAGCCCATAAAGAGGACTTTACTTCTGACCACTAGGGGGAACCCTGGTGCATCAACACGCACCACACCTCAGGAACTTTATCTAAACATCAGAAAATCTACCAGAGCAAACTGCATTCACCTGGAAAAATTCAAATTGAAACCTAATGAAATGGCTGCATGCTTTGACTGCTGCCCCCTACTGGGTCCACTGTGCACTGTAAACAGCCACAACAACATCAAAGCCAGTTGCCAAAGAAAAGCAAAGAATCCAGTCACACAACAGAGCAGGTGATGGTGATGATGATGATGATGATGACATCATCTACCATTCACACTCACATTCACACCTACAGCCAGTTTAGAGTGAACTGTTTACCTGTTAATCCTGTAGCTTTTAGGACTGGGAGGAACCTGGAGAACCTGGAGAACCTGGAGAACCTGGAGAACACACTGGACATGAGATAAAAAATAAAACATTACATTATTATTATAATGTAACATTTTATATTCTAATATATCAGGACAGATCTTAATGAGATCATACACGCGCACGCGCACTCACACTCTTCGTGTGTCCTGGTGCTGGGGAGGTTCACGGTAATTAAGGCAGAGGTGGAGCTCGGCCTGTGATTGGTGGGAGGGAGGGGTCATAGCGGATGAGCGTGTGGTGGGTCACGGCGGGGGTTCGTTTCTCCGCTGCCCTGCACTGCAGAGACAGCGGCTCCGCTGACACAGTGTGACCGGGAACAGCGCCTCCTCTCTCCGCCTCCGCTCTCTCCATGAAGCCTGGCTGCGCTCCTGCTCCTCCTGACGCTTCTTCTCCGGGACTTTGTTCGCCATGAGCTGCTTGGATGTGATGTACCAGGTGTTTGCTCCTCAGCCGTACTTCACCTCCTACACCTCCTACCACCACCAGGTACACGGAGCACGGTCCCTCCACCCGCTCCTGCTCTCTCTCTCTCTCTGACTTCTTAAAGTCTTTACAGTGAAAAATAAAAACTTTTTTTTTAGTTTAAAGAAACTGTGAAACTGACAAGTTAATACATGTGTTAGTACAGCAGGTGTCGCTGTCATTACTGGTTATTAACGCTGGTTATTAATGATTAGTTTAATGACTGTAACGTTCAACATTAACGTTCGTTAAATCAACGTCGTCGGTTTGACACCAGACAAAGTCAAAATTAGTAAAGTATTATTTATCTAATACTTGATACAACTTTTTCTGTTGTTTTTTAGTCTAATGATCAAGGTTCAAGGTAAAACTAGTAAATTGCATTTTTTTTTCTAAATTCTGTGACAGTTATTTTCTCAGTGATTAAAAATAAAATCTAGAATTTACATAAAAAAGATCTTGACTCCAGATTTATTATCTTTACCATCTGTATTAGGAAAAAATGTTATCTTTAGTTTTAAGTCTAAAAATTATTTAAACACACACAAATAATTCTGTCAATACTAGAACAAAAACATTTTAATTTTTATTCTACAGTTATGTTTTTCTTTTTCACCAGATCAGAGCAGCTTTATTTCCAGGTGTTGGACTCAACGTCTCTGTTCAGTCTAATCCGTCAACCGTCTATACTCTGTCACTTCATCTTTAGAGGAGACAGAAACCTCCACTAACAGGAGGAAACGTTCAAATTTGACCTGTGTGTTTTAATAATGTAAAAATCTACAGCAGTGAATTTTAATAACTGATTTGAACAGTGATCACACCTGCGTTCAACTGTGTTGCACTTGAAAAATAATCTCTGAGTTTTATGTCGACCTGTTCGCTGAATTCTAGCAAAGGGAAAAAATCCTGTTCAACACATTGTTATTTAAATGTAATTCCTGCCAACGTAAACCTGAGGAAAGAGCTGTTCTGTTGAACTGTCGTTTCTTTAAACTTTTCCTCGTCTTCAACTCACATGAATCGAGACAGGATCACCAGACGCTCCAACGACGTTGCTCTGTTTCGTCCTCTCAGAAACTGGCTTTATATTCCAAAATGCAAGACCCCCAGGAGAGCAGCGGCAGCAGACTGGGCCCCCAGGGGCCGCCGGTGATCAAAGAGGAGGACAAGGACCAGCCACCGGGGGCAGAGTACCTGAGCTCCCGCTGCGTCCTCTTCACTTATTTCCAGGGCGACATCAGCGCCGTGGTGGACGAACACTTCAGCCGAGCGCTGAGCCACAGCACGGTGTATCCTGCACAGAGCAGCCACAAGAGCGTAAGAGGTGTGTGTGTGTGTGTGTGTAAGGATATTATTTATACTTTGTATAAATTATTATACTTTGTAAAACTTAATTCCTTAAGTTATAACATAAACATGTTTTGCTGTTTCTGGATTTTATTTTTAATTTTTTTTAGATTTTATATTTGGCTTGTTTAAGAAATCTTACCTATTCTTTTGCTCCTGAATTGGAATTAATTTTTCATCCACCTCTCTCTTCTTAACACTTTTATTTTGTCACTTTTTTGCGGCAGTAATAATTTTGGGAGTGTATTTTCCCGACGGTGGTCTGGAGTATCCAGACGCTGTAATCTGTAATCTAAGCTGCCGACCTGTGTCTCCTCAGATGGATCCTTCCCCATGAGCCAGCGAACCTTCCCCGCTTCCTTCTGGAACAGTTCGTACCAGTCGTCCGTCTCCTCCACCCTGGGCGGGGCCCTCTGCGCCCCCCACACAGACCTCTCCTTCCCCTCCGACCCTTACTCTCCTGCCTCCCTGCACACTCACCTACACCAGCCCAGTCCCGACACCTGGCACCCATCCCACCATCACCAACACCACCACCACCACCACCCCTACTCCCTAGGTGGCGCCATCGGAGCCCAGCCTTCTGCCTACCCTCGCCCCAGTGTTCATGAAATGTACAGCACGGCGTTCGACCCCCGGTACAGCTCTCTGCTGGTGCCGTCTGTGAGGCCTCATCACCGGCTGACCCCAGGGGGGTCCGTGCCCGGGGCCAATGCGTCCCCCTGTGACATCGGAGGGAAGGGGGAGTCGGGGTCGGGGTCCAGCTGGAGCGGAGCCTTCACGGGAGCTGGAGCAGAAATAGGACTGAACGTGGAAACAGGTACGAACAAAAACCTTAACAAGTTCAGTCCAGACGTTGAACTGAACAACAACAGCATGTACTGCCGTGATATACTGTGATATACTGTGATATACTGTGATATACTGTGATATACTGCAGTACTATAGGACAACTGTACAGACAGACATGATCAGGTTACTAACACTGGAACAGAGCAGGGATGTCCGATATGAACTTTTTCCCGATATTGTCCAAACACAGACTGGTAATATTTATTTATTTATTTATCTGTACAATCCACTGTATAAGTCTGAGATTAATTAAATGAGCTGCAATGCTGCCATCTAGTGACTTTCACTTTAATATACAGTCGTTTATCCCCAAAACTATTTTGAAGGCACAGATCATTCGTCCAAACTCAGGCATTGCGTGATCAGGGTTTTTATTATCGGAGGAAAAACTGATAACGATTCTTACAGATATTACATAATGTGCTAATATCGGGCCGTTTATATCGGTCGGCATCCCTAGAACAGAGGGATCTACATTTGGAATCACTAGAGAAGAAAGAAAAGAAAAAGAAAATTAAATGAACCAACACCAGGAATATTGGACTGGGAGTTGGTGAGAAATAAAAAAATCAATAACTGATAAAGGATATTGATACAGTTCTGTGAAACATATTTCAGTGTGTACTGATATTTTCCTACAGCCGTAGTTAAAGGTAGAGCTGGGTCAAAGCCCG